TGTCAGGGCCCGGCACGAGCTTGTCAAATGACAAGCTGGAAATCGCTTTCGGCAAAAAAAGCAAAGGGGAAATCGTTTTTGAGGGGTCCGGGGCGGAGCCCCGGAAAAAAATTGGTAGTGCACGTTCTCTGCTTATTTTAACATGTTATGTGCCTCAACATGCAAAGACTGGAGTTCGCGCGCGTCAAACCGCGCCGTCGCTAATTGCCGCAGGCGCGACGTCGCTCAAACGAGCTATTTGTAACGGCATACATGACTAGTTCTCAATGTACGCGTCACGGTATGACACCAGATTTTGTAGGCGAACGGAGAGAGGCTAGTGGAAACAAAGTATGAAAAATTATGAAAAACTTATGCGAACGGAAGTAGTAATAAGCATTTTTTCCAAAGATTTTGCAAAATTGGTAAATGAAGTTGTAAATTCAAATGGCTCGCTTGCAACGCGCAGATGACGATATGGTATGAAACTTGGTACGCTCGTGGATACAAGCCTGTAGGAGCTAACTTAGGAGTTTCATTGAAAAATTATGTGACTGAAGGTTGTGGCAAAGTTTTTTCTGAAAATTTCCCGCTACCAAAGAAATGGAAAAATGGCTCGTTTGCAACGCAGAGGCGACGAAATCGCGCGGGATTCGGTGTGTATATGCGCAGTAGGACTAAGTAGCAAAGTATGAAAAATTATGAAAAACTTATGTGAATGAAGAGCGTGCTTAACTTATTTCCAAATTAGCTTGTCATTTGACAAGCTAATGACAAGCTGAGCTTGTCAAAACTCTCAGTTCACATAATTTTTTCAAAATTTTTACATAAATCTACTCTACGCCTAAACATTGGTATATATTGAAATTTTGGTTTCAAACCTCCTCCTCTCCCCATTGCTAGAGGCAAAAATAGCCTCAGCAGTCCCGTTTCCTGAGGAGGAAAGCGCGCCCGAATTGAACGGCGTGTCGCTGAGTCCTTTAATCGTTTGGTGTGTCGGTGTGTCGCCCACTTCTCTGCGTTTTCGTTTGTCTTTCCATTTTCTTTCTGTTTTTTTTTGTTTTGCCAAAGCTAGGTCGGCGGAGGTAGAATATGATGGATCCATTTGTTAATAAGTGAAAATATAGTGCTGTTATTGCAAAACTCTGTTATTTTCGATTGCTTCCTCCACCAGTATTTAAGAGAGCTTCCTGCACCTCACATTACGATATCTCGTAGTCAGTGAGCTAAAGATTTGCTGATGACTCTTGATCTTGCTAGGAGGCATCTTTATATGTACTACTATGGAGGTTTGCCATCAAAGTCCCAATTTTCTTGCATATACCTGCTAATTTTCTAAAATTAAGAGAACTCATTACAAAACATTCGTTTTAGGTCGCGGTACAATCGCGAACCAATGAAAAGTTCGATCTGGAATGTACTTTACCCTCGAGCAGCATAGATTGGTTCAACCTCCGAATTGATGAACTTGGTGAGGTATCGGCGCAAGTTAAGAGGAGGAGAATCAGCAGGTGAGTACAAGAATACAATCACTTCTTTTGCTAGAAATTTATCTTATCTATCTTTTCTGCACTCTTTCTAACGCTACAGTAGTTGCTTGCAGTTTTCCACCCGTGCCCAAAGCTATATCAATTGATTTCATGTTGTATACGTGTGATGGCGAAGTTTTACCAATGAAATCTTGGTAAGTGCTTAACGTAAAGTAGTTTTGTTATCATATTATGTTAGTTCTTTTATGATATCTACAAAGACAAGAAGAGAATTTGCCTACAGTTGAATCACTTTGTGTTCGGGTAGAAGTTTATTATATATTGATAGTTCAAACTTGTGGGTCGATGGTACATAATGATGTTGCGTGACTGCGGTCACGATTGGCTTATGTCGGAGTGGAATAAGCCAATTGCGACCGCAGTCACGCAACACCATAATGTAGCCATAAATTCGGTAGCATATTCTTCACAAAAGATTAACTAATAAAGCATTTGCTTTAAAATATCATTTTTGATCTATGATTTGGGCACACACTCCATTTTTTTGCGATGTCAGAATTCAAGTCTTTAAGAATACTTCGATATCCAAGCTTTGTGTATTTTTGTCTTTAGGCTCATCATTTGTTTGTCAAATCCAAATTTCAGTCATCTTGTTTGAGGAAGTCTTCTGTTGATGAAGGAGAGAAGTTGATGGCATGGGCGAATGACATCAAGTCACAGTCATATCTACAAATGAGCGTTATGCTACGAAGCGCAATGGTAGCAGCAAGAATGACACCGTTGCATAGGTGAGCTCGCTGTGTTCTTGAAATATGCGTTTTCGATAGATATATCTTGAAGATGTGCTGATGAATGCCGTACGGTTTCCGCTTAACGTTTTTTCAAATAATATTCAACGCAATACCCTGTAAAAAAGTGAATTTCTCAGGGAAGTATTTTTGTGCTGTGTGTTATAGGCATGGATATGACTCTGACGGCAATTTGTGTGGCATCTCACATCTTTTTTGATTTGCAAATTACTTCCTTACTATTTGCATTTTCGTCACTTTCCGTATGAAGCTTTCGTCCATTTTCGTCACTGAACCAAGTTCAGTGGTGTACGTTAAGCTTGGCTTTGCTAGTGCATGCATCATCATTTTGAGATAAACGTAAAGGCGGAGATTGTTATTTTTCCGCTTGGCTTCAGGAAAAGGGCACCGCTGCCTCGCGAGTTTCAGCCTGCGATCGTATTATTTTTCTTGCTTGCTATGTATCATATATCAGAGTTGTTTCAGGTACTACGCGAAAAAGCAAAGCCGTGATGCGTTCGTTATCTTCTACAAGCTAGGAGAAGGCGCATCTGAGCTGGATCTCGGATCAGAAACAAAACGAATTCGGCCGATTTCCCACATTTGTTGGAGTTTTCACACTTGAAGTTGCTTATCGTACACAAACGGATAAGGAAGGGGTGTTGTCACCGCCTGAAGGACTGATTCTCCTAATCAGGTATTTTTCCGTAATCTTTTATCGATTTGCAAACGTTTGCATGTATGTTTTAAATATGTCGAGCTTTGCTATCATTACTTTGAATACTTGGTTCTTTATCATTTTTTATTGCTATGGAATGAGACTTGGCAGGAGAAACCATTATCCGTCGGAATCCGGCGCTGACCTTAGCTAGGTATATAGCTAACGCGACCATAAAAGGCGACCCGGCTGCCTCTTACTTTTTCATTGATCTTACTTATCAGATGATAAAGTGGTCCTGCATTTGATATGATATTTTGTTCATCCTCTGGGTCGTATTATAACTGATCATTTCGCTATCCGTATTCAAGTGATGAATGGGAACCTGAGTTGCTAACAACTGATGTTGATGGATGACGTTCAAAATCATTTACAAATTCTTTTTGTTGTTAGGGATTTCAAAACAAGACTGTCATTGGTAAGGATGACTTCATCTCCCTGAACAGTGTGCACGTTTTGGGAAGCAGAGGCTCTTCTAACTTCATCAAATAAAACCCTTTTATATTCTGGCGAAAAGTTATTGGGATAATGATAAATTCCATAAGATACTAGAGAAAATCAGTTCCTCAGTATTTGCACTTTATGGCATATTGAGAGAGTATCCAAGATGAAGAGAATCTTCAGTACCGTGGCAAGATCAGAGAGTAAAAAAGACAAATGATAGTTTCAGGATGACCTGATGATTTGGTAAGTAAGATTCATATGTAATAAGTAAGATTCATAGCCAAAGGAAAGATAAGAGGCAGCTGGATCGCCTTTTATGGTCGCGTTAGCTATATACTGTAGCTAAGGTCAGCGCCGAATTCCGACGGATAATGATTTCTCTTGGCAGGGGGAGGAGGGGGGGGGGGGGGGAGGAGCCTGGTTCGTACACTTAATCCTTTTTGAATCATCTAGTTCAATTGTTTCCCACCTCTCTAATGTGATCTTTTGTTTATTTTTATGAATAAATTGTTTTTGTTTTTTCGTCAATAAAACTTGTTGGTCAAAGTGTTCACTGCAGAATCACTGGGACCAATTTTGGGGTCAAAGGGGAAATCGTAAATAAATTTTGGGTCAAAGGGGAATTCGTTTTCGAAAACCCCTTTTGACAAGCTCGTGCCGGGCCCTGGCTGATGTTTGTTGCGGACCGTTCTATGCGTCTGAAACTCCAATGTCTCCATTTCCTCTCTTGGAATCGTTTTACTCAGAGGTTTGGCCTAAAGTTTTGATTAACGCTTCTTCATTGAGTAGTGAATGTATGGAACACACGTTTCTTCTAACTGCAGCGAATATTTGAAAATACGTTTGCAACTATCTGAAGACGAGCATCGTACACATATAACCTAGCAGACTTTTCTTTTGCAAAAACCAGCGTACTTCGGATTGAAAAATGTAAGAGCCTAATATGTTCGAAGTTCACACCCTGATACTAAATTTTGATTGAGAGTTCGGTGAGATGAGCTTGTCAATTTTAAGTCGATTTGCAAAGTTTTGTTCTCTTATATGAAGAAAATTGTTGTCTTGGCTGCAGATCCGGTCTGCTGTGAGGCAGTGCGAGATGTAGATGCTTGGATGCTTTTCTTAGCACATTTTGAGTGCCACAACTTTTGTTATTTGAGTTCGGTCACCCGTATTACTTGAGAACATTCGGAACCACTAACAAAAAAATTTACTATCAATGATTGAGCTCATTGGGGCGATCGGTTTCTAACGCGGTTAGCGAGGGATCATTAGCCTTGCGCTGGCCTTCGGGACTTAGGAGGCACCGTGTAAACGACGTATGGCCAATTCGAAGAGGCATTCGCGGCAGCCAGCAGAACCTGAAATTTCGCGCACTGCTCCATAGTTACTTGTAAGTATGATGTTTTACCGCTACAAATAGTTTCCAAGCAAGCATTGCTAGTCGAAGCACTTGGTTGTCTGAAATCAGGTGATCAGAAGTGCGCTAAATAACCAGAATAAAGTCAAAGAAGAAAGCTGCTGACTGAGCTGTGACAACCGGCTTATACGCGGGAAACCATTTTAGTCGATATTGATTAAAATGTCAGAACTCTCACGTCCTGCTATGGTCTTGCTGTAATGCGATGTATTTCAAATTGAAATATTCCATCTTGTTTTTTTTTCACTCCAGTTTAAGAGCAAAAAAGCATGTTATGCCATTTTGTTAAAACCTTTGTTCTGAAGTTATCGTTTCTGTGTTTCACAATTGAACTGTATACTAACAGAATATTTTAAGTTCATTAAGGTAAACCTCAACTAAAAGTAGGCCATGCATTGCTTGTTTAGAATATGTTAAAATGTTATAATCTATTCTTTCATATCTGCAGGAAACTTTGCTAGCGCAGTTGTAACATTAGCTTTGTCAATTTCGTGTTCAACAGCTTCTTCTCCACTTCAATTTCGGAAACTACAAGGGCAACTACTTTAACAGCTTACTGTTATAATAGAAAATTCCAACTGTTCTACAGTAATGAAAATGTGCGAATTATTTGTTTCGTAAATCAAAGTTATCGCAATGTAGTATCTCAAACTCTGCGGCGGCTGTCGAAACAAGACAGCGAAAGGAAAATCTAGGCGGAGAGGAGGGGTAGGGGATGAACAACAAAGGGGATGAATTTGTAAGGGAAATCCTTCCAGGTTTCTTGAGCTGCTTGTTACCTCAGAAAGGAAAAGGTAGGTGGCGGCAGTTTACGGTAATTCGTAGCAGTGGCATACGGAGGGGGACAGGGTCCCCTCCAGATGAAGGAGTTTCAGCTATTTTTGACCTAGAAGAGTGAAGGGGGTAACTGAGCCTTATGATGAATGTTGATGAAGCTTATATGCTCAACGGGGGTGGGAGTGAAAAGAAGCAAAATAAGTGGTACAGAGGTGTAATATGAGAATTTTCTCAATGCTTAGGCTCTGGAAGGTCAGTCAACAGAAACTTTTTTGACTCACGAAAGCTTTATGTTTCATCAGCCGACATACCATTCGGGAGCTTGGAACATACAGAATCGACATAGTGCGTCTCTTCTTTCCCAGCTCTCCTGTGAATGCAGATATAAAAATCATATCTAGCTTCAACATCAGTTGTTTTCATGCAATCATTTTGCACTCCAATTCTGAAAGAAAGAGGAAAGCTAGAAAAAGAGAGATGGTCTTTGCCCTGTAATAGGATTAGACGATTGGACATCTTCATTCACTCTTTGCATAAAATTTTTTTTCGCAAATACACATGTTTTTAGCTAAAACGCAATGTATCTCTGAGTAGAGGGGAGCTACAAAAAAGAGACGATCTACGTCGAATCCCTGTTTCGTGAGTTTTCTAATGGCTTATAGGTTGTTAAGCGAGAAAACTCGTGACTTTTCTTTAGCATTAGCGCTCCTCCCCGCTGTTGGTATGTACGGGTCGCCGGAGCAAGACTTTTACTTTGTATGCCATTCGATAGCTAAGAACACGTGGACAATTCAAAAGCATATTTTTAACTATAGCCCCTGTTTGCAACTCCTGTTTGCAGCGCTGATGCGGTTTTCTAGTCCTTAAAACCTTAAAAGCCACTGATAGTAACAATTTGCTGTCAATGATTGAGCTCCTTAGGGCGAAAAATTCGGGTTTGCTAGATGGGAATCAATGGACACTTCGGTTGTTGGTTTGGGAAATTGGCAGCGCGGATATGACAACTTATGGAAAAGCCATTTGTCGAAAGTGATAGAAATGTTAAATATCTGAGTTTATTATGGTTTCGTCGTAATTCACCGAATTTTGAATTGAGATATTCCATTACGTCTTTCTCATTTCCAGGGTCAAGCAAAGGGTGTGGCACACGATCGCTGGTTACGACCCCCCCCCCTGATTGCTGTCTTAATAAGACCCCCCTGGACTATATACCTAAGATAGCATTACCAGAGTTGAGAAAGAGGTCAGGCACACGTCTTTCGAAACCCCCCCCCCATGAAAGCCCTCAAACGACCCCTTCTTCCTTCTCTTAACCTCTGGACCTCAAAGTGTAACATTCTGGAGGACACCATCTTTTTCTAGAGAGTTTTCAGATTTCTGAGAGCTGTACGCCCGATTTTCTGTGACTGCACTTTACAATCACACGCAAATTGACGGCTGATTTTGATCTGAATGGGCATATTGAAAGGGCCATAATTTTCTTATGGGTGGGGCGTTCGGCTCCAAATTTCCCATTGTAGCAAGAAGAAGCTATGTGCTCAATACTCATACCAGCAATGGAGCGCTTTCTGGATTTTGAAGGCAAGTTAAGGGGGTGTGCCGCACCCCATTAACACATTGACGACCAAGGCGTTTCGCGGACCGGTCAACATTTTTTAGATAAAATCACGCGCAATTTCATCTACAGTACACCTACAGTAACTCTGGAATGCTGGCAAAAACAGTAAAGGTTGTGTCTAGATCTAGCACAAAAGAAAACTCCCGGAGTGGGTTTAACACTAAATAGTAGCCATTTCAACGATACACATGGTGTGCCAAGCCTTGACACACCATGTGTGTCAAGCGGTCGTCAATGTGTTAACTATATCAAAAAATAGCGGACAATATTTAAATGAATCGATAGCCTAAACCTTGTAGATTTTAGGACTGTTTGGAGCCTGATTTGTCTTCTTAGCTCTAAGTAATATTTGTGAAAGCACAGCGATCAAAAGCGAAAAATGGGAAAAACGAGATTTTGGTTGGCTTCTAATTCCACAGTTTGAAGGTCTTCTGAAGCGGGATTCCTGACGGACAAAGAAGGAGTAGTGCTTCGTCTTGAGTGCAAAAACGGATAGCTAGTTCACCTTTGAAACAAAGTTGACCATGTTAGAATTTGACCATTTCATTTAGGTAGCCTAGTATCTTGAATCTTCAGAATTCGCTCACACTTTGTCTACAGGGGTTAATTGACATGCAAATTATGAATATGATACTAATATCATGTTATCACTATTATCAGATTATCCAACTACGATCCCCTCCCCTTTTGACTCCTTAATACGACCCCCCAGGTGTGGCGTGCCGCACCTCACGCTTGACCCTGCTCATTTCCACTTGGAAGCATCAATGTAAGTCGCTCCATTTCATATGATCATATGTGTCACTGCACACACAGTTCACCTTTGGCGTCCCCATCCTGGATTCGTGGGAGAAACAAGCCTTCAGGTAAGTGTTTCCAAGGTGTTCTTAGCATTTTCTTTTCTTTTTAGTTAATAGTCACCTCAAATCGACGTAGTCGATAACAATATGTAAGTCTCTTGCGTTTTTGCCAGTGTAAATCCAGAATGAGGGCGCCAAAGTGGACTGTGTGTGCAATGGCACACATGATCATATGAGATGAAGCGACTGTTTATCTTGCCATTATAATGGAAGCTCAGTTTGAGACGATCTTTTGTTTTCATAATGTGTACTTGTATTACTACAAAATGGAAACTAAGTGACATATGACTCGATTTTACTGGGAAATCAATTGTTATTAGCACTTTCGAGCACAGTACTGTTAGTGAGAACAAATTGACAACATATCAATGAAGTTTACAAAGGTTTCTTTTGCAGTGCGTGGCCTATTTGGGCGTACACTTGATCGTTGACGTTTGCATTAATACATAAGATATACCATCATTGGAACTAGAGTGGATTCAAAGCAATGCTTTCACTAAAATTGCAAAAACATACCTTTTTGCGCTTGTGTCGATATAGGAAGACAAGGTGAAATATGTGAATTTTAAATTCACGGCATCACTTCAAGACCATAGCACTCCATCAGAGACTTGACATTTCTATCATTGTCGACTCAAGTTTGCCGTAGCTCATTGCGGCGCCATTTTCCTTCTTTGGCGTCTTTCTGATTTTTGCAGTCTTATTATCTGACATTCAAATTCTTTGAAAGGCAATGCTGGCTTGGAAATTTCTTGTTACGGTAGATCATCTTACCAATATGTAGCTATGGAGTAATGCGTGACAATTTCATACTGTACTTGCTGCTGTAGCGAATACCATTCCTTTCTAAGGAAATGATGATGGCCATTTCGAACCGCGTTCCTTACCGTTAATAGTGACCAGGAACGGTAACGCTCTGACCGCTTGCATCAAGATTTCCACGAAAACTTCCTCATTTTTTATAAGTAAAGTTACGGCACGAATACGCAGAACTTTGTCATTAGCAGGCGGATTTATAACCAGTACAACAGCTGTACCCACACTGAGGGGAGGACCAGGGCTCGGCACGAGGTGGCTAGTTGAAAATGCAAAAAACGAAGTCATCTTTGACTTTTGCGAATTTTTACGAAGTCCCTTTTGACCCTAAACCATAATCCCTTAAGAACCTCCAAAAAACGAAACGTCGAAAAAAACGTTGCAAATGTTGTGTCTTTCCGGCCACAAAAACGAGACTCCCTTTGCTTTTCTCCCAAAAACGATATCCAGCTTGCTTATAAGCCACCTGTACCGAGTCCTGGGGAGGACCCAAAGTCGCGGCTTTCCAAATGAAATAAATATAAATCAGTTTGAAGCGCATCAAGCGCTGATTTCAAACTGTCTTTGTTTTCTGCTAAGCTCCTCTAGACGCTGAGGTATTGAGTGTTGATTGTTTTTGGGGGCAAAAAATGTTAGCAAAATCTAATCAGATAAATCAGTGGTTATGATCTTTAGAGCGTTCAAATGAAGGACTGTTGAGTATATGTATATTATACGAAAGGTTTTCATACATAAAAAGCTCTGGTATCCAACGCTGGGCCATTTGCGCAATCTTGGACGAATTTTTTTCCACTAACGCGTTCAGTTTTTGAAATCAAAATGCTCACAACTCACCGTGTAGAGGTACTTAGCAGATAATGAAGACAGTTTTGGAATCAGCGTTTGATGCTCTTCAGATTGGTTTATATTTCATATGGAAAGCCGATATCGACTTCGGATCCTCCAGTTGTGAGATACGAACTAACAAGGGAATGGTCAGATATCGAAGCGGCTAATCCGGACAAGCTGCATACAATTAGATGCAGCTTGAAGCGCTGACTCTAGATCTGCCTTTTTTTCTGCTTATCGCTTTTGTGGACGAAGCTATGCGCCATCAAAGACCAATTATTTTGCTGAAAAAATAATGCGTGAAAGTGAAAATTTGGCCGTACAGAGCCACG